TGTAGTTGGTGTTTGCAATTTTTGTCCATTTTACGTGCCTGCGGTAGCGGTGGAAGGAATTCTCAGCGGGCGGGGAGTGAGGGATGTATGTATGTATGTATGTGTGGGAGCCCACCCGCCCCATGAGTCCGTCCCCAACCTACCACCCGGGGCGCGATTAGTCAGGTGGAATAGGATCATTCGACTGGCGTTGGAGTGGAATCGGAATCTCGGTAAGTAAGGAGTTTTACGTACTGCACTCATGGTGTGCGTGGATGAGGCATTTGATTAGTGAGTCTATGTATTCGATAACCAATGATGGAATAGAGGTGTCGCTATTGGTGCAAATGTAACCGATGGAACCGGTAAAGATCGTACTATATAAGCAGGTGTAACGCATTTTCCCTTCATTTTCATGGCAGATGCAAATGACAACTCAAGGGACCTCTTCAATGATTCAGGCAGCGAACCAGATGTTGGACCAGAGTGGCTCTTAGACACTCTGGCCATTATTCTCCGAAGACACTTCAACCGACGTATGGTCCAAACAAAATAGACCCGAGGGGCCATCTCCCAACCACATGGGAGACATGGTCGAGGGAAAGTCAGATGCGTTACCTCATGGGATGGCTCAGGAGAATGAGGCAAATGAGCCGATTCCCAGTAGGAGACAGAGAAAAGCGTGGTCCAGCAGTGTGCCAGTGTGGCTGCTCTCTATCTCACTGAGTGGGGATAATGGCCTATGGCAAGTAGAGCGGTACCTTAACTAACCTACCCCCTTTCGTGACTAAATTTGTCGTACTAAATTTTATCGTCCCCCCATACATTTGCTCAACTGGCTTGTGTTGACATGGAGAGACATAAATCGCTTGTACTGAAGTTCGCCTTCATAGCCTGGAAACACAATGATTCGGCATTATCATCCTCTTCCGTTCCTGGGAACCACGTACTAGAACGAATCTCTAAACTAGACAACTACAAAACTTGCTAAGGTCCTGTTCTATTGATCCCATATCGCAGTTGCTGATTGCTTTGTACTGTGTTTTAAATAAAGTAGCGAGTATTGCTCAACGCCGTTTTAAATCTTTTGTGGCAGTGCATGTTCAACTACCTTTGTGACAAAAACCCTCCATTCTACCTGCCTAGCCAAGGTCGAAAACGGAAATCCGTAACGGTGAGCTTACTACCTTCTCCATCCTTTGCGGATTTGTTGGTCCTTATTAACTGGCCTTTTGATGTCATGCAGGAGGAGTTGTGGCGAGTATTTTTCGACCCCCTGGGGCAGGAAATAAGGGACGAGTTTGCCATGCGATATGGCATCGAAAGTATCTTCCAGGCTATGACGTGAGTCGCAAATGAATATCCTTCGTGCGGAAAGTCGTTCTCTTTACCGATCCAATTGCATATCTGCACCCATTTCCCCTTCCGTACAAACATAAAGATATCTATAAGTGCCGATTGTGAAGGCGAGTGTATTAATGTTTGAGGCCTTGCAAGACTGACGGGGATAGCACTTTTGTTGATATTAATATGACACCATTCTATAAAATTGACAACACGCTAACGATCCAGGAAGAGGTGACAATATGTTAAAAGGGAGTGAGTGGAGTCATTCGGGAGGACGTGGGCTACCTCCTCGACGAAATCTCTATGCAGAAGTTGTCATTTGTCATATCAACACTTGGTTGTACCGTCTTCAAAGGTTGAAAAGGTTTGTCTCACAAATGCCGTTTTAATTACCGCCAAATTTCTCCCTCTAGCCACCTTGCGTGCCTTACAACTAAGTATAATTGCGTCGGTGTGCTTGCACAGCTGTCGACTCTGTTGGCCAACATCAGCGCCTTCTACGCGCACACCAGCTCGATTAACAGTCAAACTGCCTCTGAGCGATTTGCTGCCAGCAATTTTGGGGTGAATCAACGTTACATTACCAGGTGTTGAGTGACCTTGTAGGATACTTGCTTGTTACAACTTTTGCTCTTTACTAGTAGTTCTGTCTGTATTTGTACGGTTTTGAGGGAAGGAACTCTGTAATAAATCTCCTCTGATTTTTGTCTTTTATTTCAGAGGGAGAAGTTTATCAAAATCCTCGACAATCTGCACAATGCTCTTCGCATTGATCTCTCGAAATACCGAGTAAGTTTGAAAACCCAACCACCTGCACGAGACTACATCCTTTCATTCGCACGGCGATAGAGATCCTCCAGATATTCGGTTTCCGTGATT